AGATGCCATCCTTTCCACGTGACTTATATCAACTGGACATAAAAGCCCAAGTCCACCCTGGGATTTATCACCATAGATAACGGCTTTAGAGAGCCTGTTGTCACATCCAATTCTTTTCTTAATAATTCCACTAATTTTGACTTCCAATTTTTCCAATAGTGAAAGTGGAATAGCATTTACGCTTGAGAGGTATCTAGGCACAGAAAGCACCTTAGATAATATTACGTTCCTCATTGGACCGAGTCTCAAGTGTTTTGGTCTGAAATTTAGTAATCTGGATTCAACTTTTAAGAGAACCTTATCATCGGAGGGAGACCAAGACATGTTATTAATAAAGGAGGCACCCAGATACTCTAATGGATTATTCTTAGAACTATTAATGTTTGTACCATTTACGTAAACTTTTGCTCGAGATCTGAGGCCAGATGCAGTGACACCAAATACTTTGCACTTGTGTGTGGCGAAGTGCAGCCCTAGTTGTAGGGCTATTGAGTTTAATTCAGTAAGTATATTGGTTAATTCTGAAGCTGATTCAGAAAGAACCAAGATATCGTCTGCATACAGAAGGAGAACTACTTTTTCTCCACAAATGGAAGCTCCTTGATATGAATCAATCACGGAAGTAACAGTGTTAAAGTATAGATTGAACACAAGAGGGCTAATAGGATCCCCTTGTGGGACTCCAAACCTTGCTTCAAAAGCTGGTGATGTTGAGCCATTAGCAAGCACTTTGATTCTGTGCCCCGTAACCATTTTCATAACAAGATTGGTTACTGACTTATTAAAACCTATCCTGGGAAGGATAGATTTCAACTTGCTATGGACCACACTTCCATATGCATTCTTAATATCAAGGGTGCACATGAATAATGGTTTCTTTGTTTTTCTATATTCGGAAATGATAGACCACCACGAGCTGGTCAGTAGTTGAGGCAAGGCGTTTGAAGTCTCTTTGGGCTGAGTGAATAGGGAGAACAACTATAGGTCTGAAGTCAGAGAGTGATTTGGGATTCGAGTTTTTAGGTAGGGGAAGTAGCAGACCTGCTTTCCAAGAATCAGGGAAGGGGTTACCATCAACAAATATTTTGTTAAAGAAGGTAAGGAGAGTATCTTCATTCATAAATTTGAAACAATCATTGGCACCTTATTACTACCAGGCATTGAGTGTTTCATACGGCTAACCACATTCGCAAGCAAACTTGGGTTAGCAGGTGGAACCCTAAATTCTGCAAGTTTGGGGTGTCCTGTGATTAATTTCTCATCCAAATTAGAGTCTCCGAGTGCAGTATTGAACATCTTGTCAAAGTGTTCCGTGACTTGAGTTGGATTAGAGATTTTAAGCTTAGTAGTACCGTTTGGTGGTTTAGTGTGTTTCTCGATTTAAATTCGAGTTTGAATATAATTTTTGTATATTTTCACAATTTATTTTGTTGTTATATGAGAATTGATTTTTTGTATTTTATTTTTTTGATAAATTATTGGGTGAATATATATATATATATATATATGTGAACAAAAATTATATTTATCTATGTTAGAAAAATCATTTCCCTTTTATTCTTCATCATACTCCTCATCATGTTTTTTACTTATCCTCTCTTTATCAAATCCCATTCTCACTACATCCTTTTTATCATAATTCCTCGCAAATTCATTTATCTGTTCAGATTATATTTATTTACCCCTTAAAAGTGATTTTCTATTCTTTATTTTACATGAGTTTTTCGGTGATTTCTTGGTAAGAACTCTTTATTAGTAGACTTTTTGTATTTCATTTTGTTCTGTCAATAGATTTCACATATTATAAACAACAAAAGGTTGAGTATTTGTTATTACAATGTCTGATAATGTGTGCTTTTGTTGCCTGTTTGAATTGGCCGTAATAAAATTTTAAGATAATAGAAACTTGAGTATGATGAGTAATACCATGAATATATATTGTATTTCCTTTAGAATCTAGTAATTTGGTTACCTTGGTAAGTCAAGTGTTGTATATTTTCACTTTATTAGTTGTAAATGACTTTGAGAATATATATATATATATATTGGCTAGTTGCGAGGAACGATGCAACGTTAGTATTTCGACAAATTGTAAACAATAAAATTGAGTTGATAAATAATTTTTATGCTCAAAAAAATTAAGAAACATGGTAAACACACCAAGCAAAATCATTGCTGACACCCCTGGCAAAACAGTGACTGCTATCAGAAAAATTATTTCTGCTAGTAAGTCAGCTGACAGCGTTTCAACTTACAAGTCTGGATATATCCCAGCAATTGATGAAGGTAGTTCAGTGTCATCACAGACTAAACCTTTAGATAATAATCAAAGTGGTTCTGGAAATGACCCAGTTTCATCACAAACTAAACCCTTGGATAACAACCAAGGTGGTTCTGAAAAGAACCTAGATGCTATTCTTCACGCCATCACTTCATTGGGTGAGAGAATTAAACATCTTGAAGCAGTTCCACCCATCCTTCAAGAAGCTGATCAACTTGATGACAACTCTGATGAGGATTCTGCTGAAGATTCCACTGGTAAACATTGGGGTATGTCAACAATCAAGGAGATTAGAAGACACTATGAAGTTGGCGACAGATTAGCCGATGGAGATGTCTTAAGTTTTGTTTCAGCCAAAACTCTTCGTCGTTATCAAACCAATGATGCTCTTTTGAATAGAGTTCAATCATTAATGGCTAGATTTGAATCCGTTATTCATAATCATCGTACTTATCCCCGTTTGCAAGAAATCCAATCAAAGGGCTTGCAAAAGATGATGGAAATGTTGCATTTGAAATCTAGACTACTCCATTTCGCTTTAAGTCACCCAATGAACGTTGCTAACATCATGAAATCACAGAATTAGTTA